CAGAGTTCTGGAGACCATTTTGGAGACTTTTAAAAACACATGCGTGTTTCCACTTAGGGTTTGACTTATTTCAACCATGAATGAGTTCCAATTTTGAGCCAGAAGCCTCAAGCTGCAAACATGAACATTACAAAGATGTTCCCCATTTAGAGCTGAAAGGTGTGGATTTGGGAGGAGTGTTCAAAGGGAGGTTGTTGCCTGACACAGTAAGACATCCTATGGCTGGGCTGAAAGCAGCTGTCCTCAGGCAGCCACTGTCACATCCATTTGATAGATGTTGGTTCCAGGTTTCTGGAATCACAGAGAGCAAAGCCTGGATACCAAATCACAGAAGAATGGTTTAAATTGGAAACGTGAATTTTTGTCATCACTACTCAACACAATATAAAACAGTAAAAATTTCACTTTTGCTGGAAGCAGGTTGAAATTTGAGAAGTTATATTCACTCCAGAATTAAGGAAACTTTTATGGTTTGACTCATACCTCTGCAGAGCATATGAAATCAGGTGAAAGTCAACAGCAGGCACATTCAAACCAAATGCAAGGGCCAGTTATCTTGATGATGATATAGACGGTTGAGGTTCCTTAACAAGAGAGGCTTAAAGAATAATCCTAAAAGGCAGGACTTAATAATCATGAGAGGTATCACCATCACCATCACCATCACCATCACCATCACCATCACCATCACCATCACCATCACCATCACCATCACGGTCATCTCTGGGAAGCAAAATTTTTTAAAAGTTCTCTATTGTCAGTTTTTTGGGGGTGGCTGAGAGACCTGAAATCTTTTATTTTCTGACAATTTATGGAGAGCATACAAGTGGTATACACATTTGATTTCAGACTTAATAGATGAAGCAATTTCTTTAGCCAAGGGGACTGCCATCTGGGGCAATTTGGAGACATAGGAATTCCATGAAATGTATCTATTTCTTTTGAAATCAAGGCTGATTGATTATTTTGCAGACGCTTTATAAGGAGTGGGAAGAGGGGAGTTACACGCTTGGTTTATCTGGCAGAGAGAGTGGGAGGTAGGAGAGCAGAAATAATTAAAGCATTCCCTCTGCTTGTCACTCATCCCACTCACCTCCATCTCATCTGAATCATACCGATAGTTGCTATGTGTTCTGTGCTTACTTGCAACGATGCATCTTACATTATAGCATGTCTGTGAGATACGGATGTGACTTATTCATCTCAGGTCACCTGGGATGGGGAGATCGGAAATTTAAACCTATGTTTCCTTGTCTCTAAAATGAAGACCAAAGTTCCTCTTTGAAAAGGCTGTTGTGAGTTTAAATGAGACAAAGTGTAGTAATTTAGCAAGCTTTGTTAATGTAGGTTAATATAATCCTAGCAGTACAGTGAGGGTGAAGAAGTTTCGCAGTTTATCAGCTAATAATCATAATTATCACCATGTTTCTATCTTCCACTTCCGCTACACACTAGGGCCATTGTTATTCTATAATTGTCTCTAATCCTAACTGATAATAAGTTCAGTATCATCCCCACCTCTACCTCACAGACCTACTAATCAGGAGTAATTTGGGGGCAGGTGTGACAGCCGATTTAAGTGATAGTCATTTGCCATTTCCTGTTTCTCTTTGCACGCAAAGTGACTACAGAGGCCACATAAGAAGCCTCTTGAAGGAGTCTTCTTTGTAGCACACCAGATGTACCTTACACATGGCTGCCTTGGGCCGGTGTTCACTTGGGCTGGGCAGTGAGCTGGCTGTGTCCACTCTATACCCCAGCCCCAAAGCCTGCCAACAGCTGTGCTAGGAGAAATGTGACCCACAGTGCCACTCAGATTTGTGCATGGATTTAATGGATCCTCCCTCTTATTTGCCACTCTGGGAGAAATCTCATGCATTTGTGAGATTTTAATAACAGTGTACCATTATGGTCACCATACAGAAGTATACTGCATAGGTAAAACACACCAGAATCAGTTCTTACCTTGCTTCCAGTTGCTTCATTGACAAAAATGGTGTTTCTCAGTTATGTGATACTATATAACAAATCACCTTACACCTGAGTGACTCCAAACAGTGATTACTTTTTCAGAGTCTGTGTAATGATGGTTTGCTCCTTATCTGTTTGCACATAGTCTTACATCACTTTGTGACAGCTGGAGCCAGCAAGGGAGCTGGAGGCTGGGTTCAGCTGGCATGGCTGACATGCACCTCTCCTCACATGATATTTTCATTCCAGGCTTCTTTGCAATATGACAAGGAGGGAAAACAGGAGCTGAGAGCTTCTAGTGCCTGGCTTGAAGCCAGCGTGGTGTCAGATTCATGGTGTGCCCAGAACTGATTTGGGATTTAGGAGGAAGACAAATATGTTTCACCTCTTGGTGAGAGATGTGGCAATGTGACTTTGCAAGTGAGGAATTGTTGAGGCCATCTTTGAAACCAATCCTAACATGGATTGCAGGATACAGTTGAGCTGAAACTTACTCCTTTGGTGATGCAGGTGCTGGAGTTTCTACTGAAAGTGAAGTTTGCATTTCAAAGAGTATTCATGTAAACACTCCTTAGGGCACATCCAGAAGCATTTCTAGCAGAAAGAACAAGCAGTATTGGATGTTGCTTGTTCTAAGACACAATGATTTGGGCTAGGAATTTAGCTCAGTGACAGAGCACTTGCCTGGCAAGTACAGGGTCCTGGGTTTGATCTCCAGCACCACAAATAAAACAAAACAAAGTGAAAAGATACGAATTTTGGCAAACCAGGACAATTTGTAAGAAAGTTATCACGTATGTGCTTGAAGACTCCACGTGGAACCATTCATTTGTTCATGCCTGCTGCACTCATCTGTGTAGATCCATGTACATCTATTCCTATGCAAAGCTTTAACCTAGGATGTGGGGGAGGGACACTAGTCAGATTAATTAAGCAAATTCTCTAAACATATGATATGACCATTGGAGTTACCTCTTTCTTTCTACCTGTGTTAATCCCAAAAGGACAAACCAACCTTCTGTAATTTTTTTAGTTTGTATTTTTTTCAACTTAGCTACTTTTTATTTTTCCTTTAAGCAGGAGCTCTTTTTGTCCTTTCCATACAAACCTCTATTAAGAAGTTGTAACTCTAATGGGATGCAAAAATATATCTTATGGCATACTCCATATATAGATGTCCAGAGACATCTGTGTTCTTGAATTTACACCCAAAGCAATGTTGCTAGTGAAGAGAAGCCAGAGATGAAGACATTTGATGGACAGAGCAATGATAATTTGGTAGCCAATGCATTTAATGACAGAACTCACACATCTTGGGTACATTGGGATTTTTCTGGATACAAATTTGAATAACATTCTGACATTATTTGTTTATTTATGTAGAAAATACTGTGTTTTCATTATGGGTTAGGTTAAGTTTGAGGAGATGAAGTATTGTAATGAAAACGAAACAAAGTTCTTTCCTTCGTATAACTTGTAGTCTAGACAGAAGAAACAGAGCAAGATGTGGCCTCTCAGGTGTCAATAAATTATTTGGAGAAAAATGAAGCAGATTTGAGGGAGAGAAGGAGATACCAGAAAGACTTTGAGAGAGAACAGCAATGAGGCCAGAGGAAAATCCGGATGAAACAGCATCCCATTGTGTGGAAGGAATGTCAAGAGGAGTGACAATTGTTTCAAATCCTTCTGAAAGCTTAGGGAGGCTGAGGACTAGCGCTCGGCCATTGTGTTTGGCAAGAGGAAGCCACTGAGTGATGGGAAGAAAAGGCAAATTAGCTTGAGTTCAAGAGATGATGCAAAGAGAGGAAGAGGAGACAAATAAAAAGAAAACTCTTTTGGAGATAAATGGCTGAAAAAGGAGTTTGAGTATGTGGGGGAAAATAGGAGTCATGGGAGAGAATTCCACATGATAGGAAATATGACAGCAGTTTTGGTGCATGTGGGAAAATTGACAACAAGGAAAAGAGGGGAATTTGCTGGAATAATAGTAGTTGAGAAAGATGGATTCTTTTGACCAGCTTTAAAAATTCATATCATTAGAAATGTGCATATATTTCTATTTGTATTACTCTATAGTAGCATGTTGCATGGATTTCAAAACATATATAAAATATAACAAATCCAGTGTAGGCAACTGTGTAAATAGAAGGCTCAGTATTTCCACATCATTCCTCATGGATAGTTTTGCACACATAACCTTAATGTTTATCTGCCTCACTTTGGGGTTCTTACCTTTAGACAATGCTGCTGTCTGACATAGACATATCAAAAGTCACTTGGAAGGGAAGAGCTTAATCTTTCAGATTGGGAGTTTAAGCTTTCTTCCTATCTTGATTTTGGTCTAGAAAGTGTTTTGGCTATAAGCAAACCTTTGTAAGGAGTCAAGACTCTTAAGTGTAAGTTTGAGATGACTTAGCTAACAAAGCTAATTCAAAATTAGGTTCTTTAAATGTTCCTACAGGTTATTTTTGTCACATGTAACTTCAAAAAGTGCAAGAAAACAAAAACAAAAACATATCATAAAGGGAGACAACCACATTTCAGTTTTTATTTGTTGTGACTGGATCACTTTTTAAGCCATAGTTCATTTTCATGTTTTTCTCTGAATTCACGATTGAAGGACAAAGTGTTCATTTCATCACAAGCACACAATTAAAACCCCCACAGGATTGGAGGAAATAAAAAAAAATTCATTTTATTTTTTTCCCATGTTAGTTTCTGTGTAAAAAAAATTGGAGGTTGCTTGCTAAAGGGAAAACTAAAGTTTTCCTAGGTTTGCAAAGAAGAGAGTTTAAGTGATAGTCACTGGAGCTTTTTCTAAAAGACGCTGTCCTCTGGAAGACGTGTTCATTAATGATGAGGTTGAAATGGATGGCACCAAGATACTGCTTTGTGATTGGCCAATCCTTCCCATAGTTCCAATGCAATCACAGTTGTGAATTAGTATCTCCAGGTGTGTAGCGAAGCCATTCAAGCACAATCATCACGCTTACCAAACACAAATCTTGTCTCAAACAGGCAGCAGGCTCCTAAATCAGTCTCTCCATGGCGGGGGGTGGCATTCGGATCCACATTTCCACTGGAGAGCCCTCCTTCTCCTGGCGGTGGGGGCTGTAGGTCCCTTGAGTTGCCCTTTTCTTGGAGGTGACAATAGAAACAAGGGCCAGCAAGAGGATGAACAACAGGGCTAAAGTCACAGAACCAATGGTGGTGAAAATGTTCAAGATCAAGTCATCTGCCAACTGAAAGGATTAAAATAATTATCCTGTGATTTTGAGAACCAAGGGAAATGTTAGGACAATGGAGCTACCCTGGAATGAGCACCAACCAGACCAAGCTGGTCCCACTTAGTATTGTAGAAAGACCAAAGTGTTAAAGGAAAGTCAGACTTTCCTCCTTCCCAGATCAGATAATGTGAAAATAGCCATATATCTCACTTCTAGAGTCTATAATCAGAATGACAGTGTGAACTATCTGATTCATTTATTCAGTCTTCATCTCAGTGACAAAGGTCATTCATGTGACATCAAGGTCAAAAGATGAACACACATATTTGCTCATGATTTCTTCCTCCCTTGTCCAAAGCTGTGGTTTTGGATTTAACAAAGGTTTGTTTTGTAGCCTTTTTTAGGAAGAAAAGCAAATTAATTAGTCTAGTCTTGTGGGAAAGATGCCTAGAGAGGAAAACTGATGTGCTGGTCTCACTAGCCGTTTCCATAGTCATTACTTTGACTTGGATTTCATGTGACTATTGAGTGCTTGCAAAAGCACATGTGTTCAATGTGGAACCCAAACACCTAGTGACAGCAAGCTGCAAGTAAAGTTGTGCCGGGAGGAGATGTACTTAGGTCTGTCCAGGTGTTCCCAATATACCAAGCTTGTTTAATGTTGATTCTGGTGTGTACAAAACTCTTTTTAGCAAACCTGAACACTATCAGTTCAGCATCTGTTAACAGGAACCTGTGTATTAAGGACTGCAAATAATCACTATTGAATTTTTAAAATAATGTGTTCAAAGGAATATTTCTGGAGAGTAAAAGCTACCGGATCTTCTCATTCAACTTTCTCTATGATCCATGTCCCATTACCAAACCAATCTACAGTTACAAATGGAATCTCTATTTCTTTTAACATCCTAGGCAGTTTACACAACTTTGCTATCCTTAGTCTTTTGTTGTTGCTGTTCCCTGTGGTTTGGTTCCATTTTTATACAGTTAATGTAATAAAGTCTTCATAATACTGTCTTGAGTTCATTATCAAGCTCACTTAAATGCTGTTCATTATCGTATTAGCTCACTCAACAATATTTACTAGCTATTCTGAGTGTTTAGTGAGCTAGGAAATAAAAATACAAAGACATCAAAGTTTCCAATATGGAACTCAGAGTTTGGTGATAGGAGAAAAGGGGCAGACATATACAGGCACATATACAAATAATCATCCTACATTATAAATGTGTTATGATAGTGTCATAAATAATTATACTAGGATGGAGAGAAACTGCAGTGAAGCATATGATTTTTCTTTGAGTGAATGCTCAAGTATTATAAGCAATAAATTCCATTTGTATGAAATAATTTCAATTTTTAAAATACAAAGTGAGAGTGGGTTGTGGTGGAGCAAGGCTGTAATTCCAGTACTCAGGAAGTTGAAGCAGGAGGATCTGAGTTGGAAGCCATCCTAGGCTACAAAGTGAGACCTTGTGTCAAAAATAACACAAAAGAGCAAGAGATATAGAAGACCTTAGAATTTGGGCAGACAGCAAGAAATTCAGTGTGACCAAAGTATGTCCATAAACATGTGTGTTTGAATTGGGAAAGAATTAAAAGAACTGATGAGAGAGAAAATTATAAAAGGAATGAATCCTATCAAGAAATTTGAATGCCACCCCAAGATTTAGCCATTGTTGTCATTAAGGAGCCACTGGAGATGACTAAACAAGAGCATGACATGACCAGATCTGTGTTTTATTAACTTGGCTCTGTTAATAGGTGAAGGAGGACAGGGTGAATGAAGGGGGTGAATAAATTGGAGGTAGAAGAAATAGTTTATTAGTCATGATAAGAAATGATGTAGGCCTAAATTTAGCAAAGAAGGGAGAATTGAAAGAAAGGAATGGTTGAGAGAGATGTTGGGGGTGAGGTCAGCACTGCTGTGTGACAGAATATTTGGGGTTGGGGAGGAACCAAGGAAAGATGAAGATGGCTGGTGGTTGCACATTAGATGAGCATGTGGACTGACATGTCATGGGTTGGAAGTGGGTGCACAGAAGGAAAGGCAGGTTTATGTAGGAAGACTATGCATTCAGGTTGAGAAAAGCTGGTTTCAGGTGCCTAGAATAATTCTGAGACATGGTATTTCATAAGTAGGAATGATGGAACTACGACATTACAGTGAAAAATTCTTAGTTATGATAACTTTTCACACTCTAGTTATTGGAGCTTTAGGAGTAAGATACATAGAGTTTACTTTAATTAGAAACTCCCCATATTCAGGTTTTTGTGAGTGATAACATCTTTTATCAATGAAGACAGCTCTGGGCCGGGGAAATGAACCAGAGTTGACCATAGAGTTGACCTTGAAAGGTGAAATGTCTGGAACAGAGGGAAGATGGAATATGACCAGCAGAAGCCTTGGTATTGTCTAAGCACCTATAGCTAATCACACTCTTGTTCCTAGATGTTGATGTAGTCTTTGTCTAGTAAAGTGTGTTGCCTCTGGGAGTATAAGACTGTTCTTCTGGATGAGTGACTGGGGAGTGACCATACCCACACAGGCAGGAGAGAAGCAATGTGGTTCGCCTCTGCTTTCTGAACTTTCCTCTCGTTAGGACTGACTGATTACATGAGAATATGAATGCCGCTTAGAACTTTCATGGCCACCATGCATCTGAGGAGGGAGAGGGGACACTTGGGGCAGGTGCAGTCCTTGTTGATATCACAGTTCTAGCAAGACCAGAGAGCTGACCTGATCCACTTATCCTATAACCTGTATAGAATCAAGAACCCTGTCTACAGTTGCCTTACTGTCCTCAGGAATGTGGTAAGAATGAAGGCAAATGCAAGGGCTAGATGGTGACTCTATCTCTGTCGCTCATGGCTCAATAACAAGGTGGTTAAGAGCTTGTCCCAGAGAGACAGAGGCCAGGGTTTAATTCATGACTCTGACACTTACTGTGGCAACTTATTTCACCTCTCAGAGACTCATTTTCATTACCTATACAATTGGATATTAATATCTACTTAAGGGGTGGGATTAAGTAAAATACAAAGAATGCAAAATACAGAATGCATGATGTATGGTAAGTTCTCAACATAAAGTATTAAAATATTATCATAAAAATCATAAAAAATATTAGTGGTCATTATCATACCATTATCTCTAATTCTATTTATTTATAAATGATAAACCAGAACTCCCTCAGAACCTTGCCATATGGCCCAACCTAAGACCAAGAGAGCCAACCTACAAACCTAAATTGCAATTCTAGGCCTCATATTAAGGTTTTGTGTGTGTGTGTGTGTGTGTGTGTGTGTGTGTGTGTGTGTGGTACTGGGGCTTGAACTCAGGGCCTACACCTTGAGCCACTACACCAGCCCTTTTTTGTGAAGGGTATTTTTGAGACAGGGTCTCACAAACTATTTGCCTCGGGCTGGTTTTGAACCACCATCCTCCTGATCTCTGCCTTCTGAATAGCTAAGATTACAGGTGCGAGCTACTGGCATCCAGCTCATATTAAGGTTTTTGATAAAACAGTTCCTTCAATTGTATCAAATAAGGCATGCCATTAAGCTTTGCAGTGAAGTGAGTGAGTAGTGTTTTGAAATTACCTCAAGGATCCCATTGTTTAAAGCACCCTGCTCTTTCACCTGCTATTCTTTATGCTTAAAACATGCACCACCTGGATGGATGTTTTGATAACTCAAACTGTTTGATACCTGAACTAATGATGGAGGCCTTTTAGCATGGGTCAAGACCTGTTCTGATGGGTTACAGCTTTTGAATAAACTTTTCTTGAAAAGGAATACCTGAAATTAATAACAAATATCATGTAAACTTACTTTTCTAAAAAGATGACATGCTTTAATCTGTATTCAATTATGATAATATCTTTTGTGTTTTTTTTTTTTTTTTTGGCAATACTGGGGATTGAACACAGGGTCTCATGCTTGCTAGGCAGGCACTCTACCACTTGAGCCATGACCCCAGTCCTTTTTGTGTCAGTTTGTTTTTCATGTACAGCCTCATGCTAGTCTCAGACTGTGATCCTCCTACCCCTGCCTCCTGAGTACCCTGGAGTATATGTGTTTTTTTGGTTCTTTTCTGGGAGGGAGTGGTACTGGAGTTGAACTCAGGGCCTTGGGCTTTCTAGGCAGGTTCTTTATCACTTAAGCCATGCGCCTACCCATTGTTTTTGAGCTGGGGTCTTGCTGACTTTTGCCTGGTCTGGCCTCAAATCACAATTCATCTGTCTTCCTCCGAGGTGTTATTATCCTTTATAAAATGTACAGGTTGCATATTATTAACTTAAGCCATGATTCTTTTGAACCTTCTATCTACGGAATAATATAAACATGTTTCTTTTCCTCTCCAAAAGAGTTAATTCTGATACATTGACTGGGCTGTGGTCCATCTAGAACTCAAAGCAAGACTGTGTTATGATACTTGGAGGTGATATTTGTCAAAACTTATTTTGAACTTTCTCAACCTGAGTACTGCGTGCTGGAATAAGCTGGCACCATATCTTAGTGCATGTGCTTTCATTCTAGAAAAGGAATTCCATACTATTGCTTCTGAAAGGAGACTGGAAATGGCATGCATTTGCTACACAGACAGAAGTGGGTTTGTAACCAGTTTTGCCACTGTTTATATATTTGGACTACATACGCTGCTTCTCCACCTTAGACTGGAAACAGTATTTATCTTCGAACTGTTCCAAGAATGTAGCATTCAGGCACATAAAGAGCTTCTCACAGTGCATAGGCACAGAATGCCACTAGACAGTAACCATAATCATATACTATTATCGATAGTGACCTTTTTCTGCTGAGTGCCTTTCCTTGCTTGGATTTCTGAACTCTTACCATCCACAACCCACTCTTGTGAAATGTTACCCCTTGGAGCTGAACTTGAGACAGATGAAGAGCGTTCCATCATCACCCTCACTGCACTGACATGGAGCTGTAGGGAGGGTGTACAATGTGGGCTTATCAGGATCAACTGTTCCCTTATAAGCTGATTG